ACATGGATACGGAAAAGGAGAGGCAGACTACGTGTGTGTGTGTGTGTGTGTGTGTGTGTGTGTGTGTGTGTGTGTGTGAGAGAGAGAGAGAGAGAGAGAGAGTCTGTGTGTGTGTGAGTTAGAGAAAGAGAGACACACTGCGTTGGAGTGTGTGCATGTGTGTGCACTCTCATGTGAGAGCACAGGAAACTCTCCCTGAGCCTAAATTTTATGCTCTGAGTCTCACCATCTGCGTCTTTGCCCCTGCGGCAAAGTGTGATGCAGGTGAGCCTGTGGGAGGTTATTCGCAACAGTGAACACGAGTGACTGTTCTGAGCAGCCGGGAGTCTGAGAGAGAGAGGCCGGAACAAAATGAAGGCAGGGGCAATGAATGGATGAATGAACGAGAACTTCCTTGTGAATGTGTGTATGTGAAAAACTGGGGCCAAGACGCTCCGCCTCAGCCTGAGTGCCCCTGGGTCTCTGAGGCTGGAGGATTCCAGAAAATCTGCCCCTGAGTTTCCAGAAACCTCACCCCAGCCCCCTAGCTGGGTCCCCTGCCTGGGATTAGCAGACACTCCTGGGGACCAGTTTCAGGGGAGGGCGGGGAGCCCCCTGACTCTGAGAGCGCTCCCTGGGCGGGAGGCCCCAGACTGGGTGGAGCAGCCACACCTGCCTGAAGTTCTGAGGAAAAGGGCGGAAACAACTGTGGGCACCGCCCTAAAGATAGGCTCTGCGGCCCCTGCGGTCGCTGGGGGCAGTGGGTCCCACACCGCCTCACTTCCCTAAATGGGCAACTTCACTTTTAGAACCCCAGGTCCTCCCCTGGCACACCCAGGTGGCCTGTCCTGTGCCGGCCTGGCCTACCCTTGGATCCCTGGGGTGCTTGGGCCTGTGACTGTCCCAACGGGAGGGCGCCATGGTCCCCGCCATCCTGCTGCTGCTGTGGCTACAGGGCTGCGTCTCAGGTGAGCCGGAAGGGGCTGGCTTGGGGGAGGGCATGGCTCAGGGGCAGGAGCACAGGGCCTTGTCCTGCACCCCCGCCCCTTGCCCAGTTATTTTGTCTGAGGGTCTGTGGGTTGGGGGAGGGGAGGAGACGGGGCTGACTTAGCAGCTCCATACCAGAGGCCATTGAGAAGGTTCGGGCCTAATAACGGCCCCAGGTCAGGCTCATCCAGGCCTCCCACACTGAGATAAAGCTCTGGACCCCTCTGCACCGGCCCCTTTATCGGCTAGGCTTCCTCGGGCCCTCCAAGCAGGAACACTCGGTTTCTTCACGCACATAGCTTGGCTCCCCCAGGAAAGCCCTGTTTGGTTCTGAGAGGAGTCATTGCATCATGTGTGTGCTTTGAACTCACTTTTTCTCGGAATGCTGATGTCACATCCTGTCCCTGCCCCTCTCCTGAAGGGACCAATCCCTGAAGGTGTCCCCCCACTCCCCACAGCTATTAATGCCCCTCGAGGGGGCCTCACCTATTCCTGTCCCTGTCGCTCCTATGGCAACCAAGTTATCACTTCCTGTTCAGTTCTGGGCATGGTGGGGGTTAGCAAAACCCACTCCCCACCGTGCATGAGAGCATTGACGGGAGAAGTAGGCACATAAGATACAGTGCCCTGGAGACCCGTCCCAAGTCACTCCACCTCTGCACCTCCCCAGAGGGATAAGAGGCCACTCCCTCTGCCAGGGTGGAAGGGGGTCTCCGCTCTGCTAAGATTCCTGGGCTCACCCGCCAAATAATTGAGTTGGACCGTTCTGTTTGGTTTGCAAGGGACAAGGTGATGCTCAGAGGGGGTGTGGCCTTACTCAGAGCCTCAGCTATAGTGGGTGCTGGTTGGGACCTGGGACAGGTGTCTCAGGTTCTGGGCCCTTGACTATCAGAGCTCTGGGCTCCAGCAGGGAAGTCTGGAGCCACCTGCACTTGGGAAAGGAAGCATGCATTGAGTACCTACTGTGTTCAAGGCATTGTCTGGGGGCATAGTTCTCAGAGCAACCAGGGAGGGGAGCGATAGTGTTTCCACGTGACAGATAAAGAAACAGAGATGTTAGGTGATCTGCTCACCCAGTTGAGTGGTAGAAACAGCATGTTAACCCATGTTTACGGTGACACCAAAATGAGCGCTCTCTGTTCCATACTGGAGGGAGAAGCTTTTCATGTGTGTGTTTGTGGAGGGCTCTGGGGTGAAGTTATCAGAAGAGTAAGCACTGAGCTTATAGCAGGCAGAGGGGGAGGGACCCAACAGCACCTTCCTCCCTCTCTCTGTCCCCTGAGTCCCCTCCCCCCAGTCTGCTGGAGACACAGTCTGCTCTCTCTTCTCCAGACTGTGGAGGACACGGACCACATTTTGGTCCTTGGCATAGCGTGCAAGTTATAGTAGATGGAAAGTGAAGAGTTGTAGAATCCTTTGGTTCTCACTGCCCTGGGAGAGTTTATGTGTACATGGAGGCAGGCTTAACGTACGGGTTTTATGTAACTAGAATATTGTGAAATTAAACACCACCTTTACAGAATGAACTAAGGCAGCTTGCTATTTCAAGGGTGACTACAGGGAAGTTATTTGTGAAAGAAATAACTTCTTGTCATTTTTTTCAAAAAATGGATTTCCTTATCTACCTACGTCGTTTGGGCCCTGAAACTTCAGAACTTAATGACGTGTGTTTGTGTCTGTGCATCTGTCTCATTGGGGGCAGGACATGCGTCTTTCCCACAAAACTGGGAATCCTGGAGACAGAGTTTATCCATCTCCCATCAGACTGGAGAGACCGTGAAGAATGGGGCTGTGTCTGGTCGGCTCCGAGTGTAAGGGCTGAGTGTCTTCCACTCGCCTGGGGACTCCCTCAGGGACATGCCTGTCTTCTCCACCAAACGGGGAGCTCCCTGAGGGAGGGGCCTGCATCTCCCCCATCATTCTGAAAGCTAGCTGTGTATAGGGCCTGTGTACCTCCCCGTTAGATTGGGGGTGCTCTCTGAGGGTAGGACTGTTCCCCCTCAAACTCTGAGTCCATGACAGCAGGGCAACATGCACCTCCTCTCCCTTCACCATGACCCTCCCCTTTCAAGATGCCTGCTTCCTCCTCTGTCTCCAGACCTTGCTCACAAGTCGTGTCTCCCCAGGTCCCCCGGCAGAGAGCGCATACACAAAAGTGAGGCTCCTTGAAGGAGAGACTCTGTCTGTGCAGTGCTCCTACAAGGGCTACAAGAACCGCGTGGAGGGCAAGGTTTGGTGCAAAATCAGGAGGAAGCGGTGTGAGCCTGGGTTCACCCGGGCCTGGGTGAAGGGGCCGCGCTACTTGCTGCAGGACAATGCCCAGGCCAAGGTGGTCAACATCACCATGGTGGCCCTCAAGCACCAGGACTCGGGCCGATACTGGTGTATGCGCAACACCTCAGGGACCCTCTACCCGCTGATGGGCATCCAGCTGGAAGTTTCTCCAGGTGAGCGGGCCTGCCGGGGCCCTGGGAGGGTGGGGGTGTCCTCCCTGCCCCACACCCCACTGACAGCAGATATGAGAAGAAGAATCCATCAGTGGTCATGTTACACCATGGGATTTTTCAAAGTGCCTTTATAGACACCTTTGTGGCATCATTGTCACCCTTTTACAGATGAAAAAAATGAGACCTGAAAGCCGTATGTGGCTCTGATCTTGTCCAGGGTCACAGAACTAGCAGGCGGCCGAGATGAGGTTCAAACACATCACTGTCTATGCTTTGTTTTATCCAGTCATTGGTTCAACATATATTGGTTGAGCCCCTATGATGTGCCAGGCCCTGAGGATGCAGTGTGAGCAAAAACAGACAGTCCTGCCCTGCGGGACATGGCAGGCACTAGCACGTCATCCAGACAAATAATTGCAAGAGAACAATAAATGTTAAGAACAGAAAACAGTGTGATGAACCAGAAGGTAACTCAGTGATGGGGGAACTGCTGTAGAACTGAGGACCACAGAACACCTGCCTGAGCAGATGACATCAAGCAGAGCCACGAGTGATGAGAGTTCTCTAGCCGTGTTGAAATTTGGGTGCATTGAGGGGTGCTCTGTGGGGACAGCCGCATGTGCAAAGGCCCCGAGGTGAGAAGGAGGGTGGCCTGTCTAAGGAAGGCTGTTTGGCAGCTCCATATGGAGGGTGGAGCAGAGATCGATGAAGCTGGAGAGTCATCAGGAGCCCTGAGACCATGAAATGGAGTTTGGGTTTGATTCTAAGAACAAGAGGAAGCTATCAACGAGCTTAGAGAGGTGCGTTGCAGCTTGTTTGTAAGAATATAGTGGCTGCGGGGTGAGGATGGATTGTGGAAGGCATGAGGTTGGGCAGAGAGAACCATTGTGAGCATCTGGCTGGAAATGACAGTGGCTTGGAGTAGGATGAGCGCACTAGAGGTGGAGGGAAGTGGCTGGGCTCACATCTGTGTTTCTCAGACTTGCCGTCCGCCATGTATGTCTTTGAGGTAGGACAGGCTTTTCTCGCTTGGGAGGTGAGCAGAAAGGACGAGTCAAGGGTAACTCCAAGGTTCCCTAGTTCATCAGCAGGTGCATGGGTGTACCATTTACCAGTAGGGTAAATCTGAAACTGGAGCTAATTTGGAGAGAAAATAATCAAGAGCTCTATTTTGTCCTGTTAAGTTTAAGATGCCTCCTAGGACCCTAAGTGGAGGAAGGAAGTGGGCAGTTGATACACCAGCCTGGAGCTCATGTGAGAGGTCAGAGCTGAGATATGTATTTGAAATTATCTCTACAGAGATAGTGTTTCACATCCAGGAATTAGAGCAATCTATGGAGATGGAAAGCAGATTGTGGTCTCGGGTTGGGAGAAGGAAGAGGGGATGAGGGAGTAATAGCATATTAGCAAGGGGTTTCTTTGCAAAGTGATGAAAATGTTCTAAAATTGACTGTGGTGAGGGGTGCACAACTTTGTGACTATACTAAAAAAATTGAACTTTATACTATAAATGGGTATGTTGTAGGGAATGTGAATTATATCTCAATAAAGCTGTTTTAAAAATCAAGAGGATATAAAAAGCTGTTCCTGGAGTGTAGAAAAAGAAGAGAGGAGGACTGAGAACCGAGCAGCGAGGTCCTCCCACATTTATAAGGTGGGAAAGGGAGTCAGCAGAAGAGCCTGAAAAAAGAAGCCAAGTATTATAGGATTTACTGTCCACCCTGTTCCCCTAACTCAACTATATCCCCATCTCCTGTTGGGTCTGAACTAGGGAAAAGGCCATCTCTGAAATGTGGGCCAAATCCCTTTCCTCCCCTCTCCACTTCTGATTTAGACCCAGGGAAGGAGTCAAAGCTCACTGAAGCCTTAATTTGTAAGATACAAACATGAAATGGTCTTATTTTCTCTCATCATTTCTCCCAATCACGCCATGTCAAGTCTCACTTTCCACATCTTAAGGACAATTTGTGGAGATTCCAAGTTTGCAGAACTTTGCAGTTATTAGGAAATAAAAAATCCTCAGCCCAATTACAAGCTCTAATCTTCCAGCAATATATGATTTTCCACTTCCGGTGAAGACCGGATTTTATGGCCCAAGGCACCTGAAGTGGGGAGGGGGCTTGCCTGCTGCCTAGCTCCCATTCTTTCATCTTAGGAGATGAGGAATATGGGGTCCTCTCGGTCACCTCCTCCTGGTTCTCCCCCTCCCACACCTTGGTGTGCTGATGCAGGAATGAGGGAGAGGGAAATGGTCGTGTGACTTAACTGACCATTGTGGCAGTCTTCTCTGTCGGATGTCGTTCCTTTTCCTCTAGCCCTTTGAGATCCTCTCAAAAGTGAACGTGCAGATGCGTGGATTCTCTGCAGGGTTCCTTGGGGGTGTCCCCACTGCTGAGTATGGTGATGTGGGAGCTCTGGCGCCAGGTCTGCCTCTGCTTCTGTCCCCCATCCCCAGTGCTGCTTGTTCTGGGCATTCATGCCGCCAAAATGGCTGAAACTCAGCCATCTTCTGTGGTGACCATCTGGCCCTCAAGAAAGTATCCTTTGCACGCACGATAGTCTGACGCGGCATCCTGTAGCAGCCTCTCTCTCCAATTTCCGGGTTTCCTGCTGAGACAGAACCAACACTCCCTGCTGTGTGGTGCCTCACCACTCCTATGACTGCCCCCTTGTCTATCACCCAAACTCCAGGCTTCTTCTAGAAAACGTGGTGGTAAAGGGCTGGGGTGAAGGACGAGGGTAGCAGGACCATTTTGGGTGTATCTTAGGGATCCTGCAAGGAAGATGTCTGGCGCCAATGAAGGCAGCTTTCTTCGGAATCTGGGGCCCTTGATGCCTTGTAATCCTCATCTCTGGACCCCAACTGCCAATTATGGAGTAGCTGGAAAAGTCCCTGTTCAACGTGATTTGGTAGATGTCCCTTTGGCCCACAAGAATGAGGAGAGTGTGGAAAATGACGAGAGAGATGGGGATGGGGAGGGAGTGTCCTCCGGGACCAGGTGGCCTGATGTGAGACGCTAAGGAAACTGTGAAAGTCTTTCCCTTCTTCACCATGCCTGCTCCTTCCTTCCTGACGTCGCCCTCTGAACCCTGGTCACGAGGCAGAGCAGAACCCGAGGTCCAAGGTCAAGGAGAAAAGAGGCGGACAGGCCCCCACCCCAGCATCCAGACAACTGCGTGGGCTGCCGGGGTCTGCTCCAAGCGCTGAGGCGCCCGAGTCAGTCTAACAGCCCTCCCTCTCTGGTCCTTCAGCGTCCCCAGCTGAGAGGAGCACTCCCCTCACACATCTGGCCGATGTCTTCAAGAGTGGAGCCCCTTCTTCAGGCCCTGATGAGCCTTTCACCACTAGCAGGACGGGGTTCACCCCTGGGATCCTCACCTTGGCCAGACTCTTACCCTCCTCGAGACTAACCTCCATGACAGGCTACAGCTTCACGGGTACCAGCATGACTACCACGGGGGCCCAGACAGTGACTGTGTCTCCCAGCAATGCCGGAGCCTCCTCTGTGGGCCCAGAATCCATCTCCCCCGAGTCTGGGCACCTCGGCACTGGAGTGCTGGTGACAGGAATGTGCCACACCAGCAGATCTCTCAACAAATTTCCCTCCATCAGGTACCTGTGGGGCTGGGGGTTGATGACATTTTGCCAAATACGGCACAGTTCTTGGTGTCTGAATGAAACTCAAGTGCAAATCTTATAACTGACCTTCCCCTTTGGCTCCCCAGGAACCCTGTGTGGCCTACTGTGGGAGACTGGAAGTGATATAGGCGATGGCAGTGGGGATGTGAGTAGGGGGTGAGAGTCAGGAAAATGAGCGTCAGGGGGTTGGGGTCAAAGGTCAGGGGATGAGGGTCAGGGATCAGGGGTTAAGGTCAGGGGATGAGGGGCAGGGGATGAGGGTCAGGAGGATGAGGTTCATGGGGTTAGGGTCAGGGGATGAGGGTCAGGGGAATCAGGATCAATGGTCAGGGGGATGAGGGTCATAGGGATGAGGGTCAAGGGGATCAGGATCAAGGGTCAGGGGGATGAGGGTTGGGGTTAAGGGTAAGGGCTTAGGGTCAGGTTAGGGGACGAGGGTCGTGGGATGAGGTTATGAGGGTGAAGGGGATGAGGGTCAGGGGTTTGGGTCAGGGGAACAGGGTTAGGGGGATCAAGGTCAAGGGTCAGGGGGATGAGGGTCATGGGGTTGAGGGTCAGGGGATCAGGGTAAAGGGTCAGGGGGATGAGGGTCATGGGGTTGAGGGTCAAGGGGATCATGATCAAGGTCAGGGGGATGAGTGTTGGGGGTTAAGGGTAAGGGGTTAGGGTCAGGTTAGGGGATGAGGGTTGCGGGATGAGGTTATGAGGGTTGGGGGGATGAGGGTCAGGGGGTTTGGGTCAGGGGAACAGGGTTAGGGGGATCAGGGTCAAGGGTCAGAGGGATGAGGGTCATGGGGTTGAGGATCAGGGGATCAGGGTCAGAGTCAGTTTCCCTGAAGAGGCTGCTGATGGAAAGGAGAGGGAGGAAACAAGACAAGTATGTGGCTCTGGGAGTAGGAAGTGGGAACTGGAGGCACTCTTAGTTGGGTTCCACTAGCGAAGCCATCTCTGAAACAAGGATTTGCATCTCATGTGGAACACTGCAAAGAGGGTGGGAAAGTGGGACAGGGAAGCCAAGGCAGACAATAAGGAGCCTTTAATCAAACCAGCTACCACTACGTGCAGCAAGAGCCTAATCCCCTGGGGAAACTGGGATCCAGTGTCAAACACACTCCGCAGGCAAGTGAGCAGGTGCTTAGACACCACTCCTGTCGGTTGTTGGTAGGGAGCTGCCTGTGTGGGGCTTGGAGGGCTCCAGGGACAGGAGAAAGTCCTCGCTCCCTCCCCCTTACCAAACAAGGGGGTGCTGATGACCTGTGTACACAAAAATGTCCCCAGCGAGGGAACATGGGATACAGGTGGGGCACCTACAGCGTCTGCTACAGAGGACACAGTGGGGGAAGGGGCGTCCTCAGTCACCCTGAGGAAGAGCAAGAACCTTGATCTCGTCAGTCACACATGGGCGTCTCTTAGAATCCTTGTCCTCAGCGATGAACAGATTCAGGGGCATAAGGGAGGAGAGGCGCCAAAGCTGGGGAGATGTTCCCTTCTGCCTGGGCACGTCCTGCCCTGCAGCTGGGTCCCCAAGGAAGAGTTGCTGTCCTTCCAGAGGCGAGTGCTGTCAGGGCTTCTGAAGCTGGGGTTGTCCCCTGGCCCGACCCCTCTTGTGGGGCATGTAGGAAGACAGGGGTCAGGGCGGGGCCCTTGGTGCTCACCTCCTGCCCCTCTGTCCCTTCTCCTCAGGCACCGGGATTTTTACCTCACTGTGCTCGTGATGGGGCTGACCTTCCTCCTGGTTCCCGTGACGTTGATCATGGTCTATGGGTTTTGGAAGAAGCGACACGTGGGAAGTGAGTAGAGCCCACCTCTCAGCCTCCCGAGGGCAGAGCTCTGGGTAGCTGCGTTAAGGGCTGTGGCACTGAGTCCCTAGCGGGGTGTTACTTGGCCTGTGTCCAGTCAGGAGGACTGGGAGGCACCCAGCAAGGGAGGAGGGTGGCCAGGCAGGTGGCCCAGCATAACCCTAAAGGGATAACCTGGCAGGAGCCAAAGGCGGAGCCAGAAAGAGGCTGGAGCAGGGGACGGCCCTTCCTCACCTCTCCCTGTTCCTTGTAGGCTACAGCATCCACAGTGATCCTGCTAGACCCTGGAAGGACCCACCTAGACGACCAGAGCCCCAGTGGAAACCTGCTTGGTCTGAGACCACTTAAGCATGGGGTGAGGGAGCTTCTCCCAGAGGGGCCCCAGAAGGCCAGAGGAGGGGGAAAGACCTGGGCCAGTCTGGATTGGGGGGGTTGGAGGACTCGTGCAGTGCTGGACTCACCCAGGCCCTCCCAGAACCAGAGGCTGTACCCCACCTGTGTCGGGGCCAGCAGCCCGGCAGCTCAGAGTTCTGCACTGCCAGGACCTGGGGAGGGACTCATAGCAGCGGGCGGCAGGCAGGAAGTCCTGGGGAAAGCGTCCAAGAGGGTTCCGCTCAGTGCCGCAGACCCCAGGGCCCTGGTGGATGGCAGAGAAGCCCTGGAAGTGTTGTTTACAGAGACCCAGAGCTCTTGTCTGCCTCAGCGCCCCTTACCAGGAAGCTGTGGGGCAGGGGTGTAACTAGAGCTGCCCTCTCCTCGGCCAGGACCCCTGTGTCCCCAGCTTTCCTCTGCTCCCCTCGAGCTTCCCCTTTGCTGAAGGGAGAAAGAGTTGGGGCTCAGGGGCCCGAGAGCCAGCTGATGTCCTGGAGGAGAAGGAACGGTGACTAAGAGCTGGGGACCGACAGAGGGGCTGGCAGCAGGGATCCCAGAGCTGTCCAAGGGTCCTCATGTCCAGCAAGTGTCCTCTGACGGGGCCTCTGGATGCACCCTGCCCTGAGCGTGGCTGCTTGTCCTCCTGTCCTGGGAGCCTGCAGAGCCCACACTCTCATCACGGCCTCCTGCTGGCCAGCCCTCCTGGAGAAACTGTGACCGACCAGGCGGATAAGAGCCCCTGAGCTACAGGGTCGGCCTCTTCCCCTGCTCTTCCCAGGGTGCAGAGGCTGAACTCGAGGCTCTCTCCTCCAGTTCATGCACCTGGGTTCCAGGTCTAAGCTCCTGGAGGGGACTGAGGGCCCAGCCAAGTCCCTACCCTGGAGTGGCTGGGACCCTGGCTCTGTATGGAGGGTGCTTGCCACACAGACACTGATGGGGAGTCCATGGCTCAGAGAATGAGTGGATCACCCTCACCCCTACTGCCCAGGGACTCACTGTCTCCTGGGGAGAGAAGACACATGTGTGATACACCAAAGACAACTCGGAGCTGAGCATGGAGGACTGGCCCAGGCAGAGGCAGGAAGAAGGAAGCCCAACTACCTCTGGCTGAGAGTCCAATGGCCTGAGGAGTCTGCCTGGTGCCTCACTGCGTCATGGCTCAGACTTGACCTCTACTGCTCAGACCACTGCCTGATGTCCAGCAGTGATGGTGAAGGATGCAACCTGGGTTCCTGCCCCAGGGAGGAGTGTCCATCAGCCTGGAGTGGCTGGAGTAGCGCCTTGGGATAAATGTGACATCTGCACTCAGCCCTGAGTCAGGCACCTCCTAGCGGAAGAGCAAACACCACAGTCAGGAGAGTGACACAGCTGGGGACCTGGTGGGCAACCGGGGGAGTGGGGGCGGTGGGCACTTCAAGGTGGATGAGGGGACAGGAAGGGGCAGGAGGTAATCCTGGGCACAGCGGGGAGGAGGGTCTTCTTCCCTACGGCCAGGAGGGGGCAGTAGAGAGAAGACTCGGGTTGTGGAATGGAGACACACACACACACACACACACACACACACACACACACACACACACGCTGACATCCATCTGGCCAGCAAGCAACCTGCTAAGAAAGCTGCTCTCCTCATCATGAGAGTGTGGCCAGCAGCCTGAGGTGTAGTTAGGAGGCGGCTTAACTGTCCTGGGGGGAAATAGCTCCCTGGGAGCTCCCTCTGCGTGTGACCCTGCCTCTCCTGATGGCCAGATGCCCGGGGGCAGGAGCACTGGGGAAGGAGTCAGGGACGGGGATGGGGATGTCATCTGTCACTGCGTGACCCTCAGCAAGTCACTACCCCTGTCTGGGTCTCAGTTTTCCTCTCTTGTGAAAGGGGACAGTAATTCCTACCTCTTAGTATTGTTTTCCGATAGAACAAAATTACGTGAACATTGTACAACCAAGCCGATGCCTCTTTACTGTTGCTCCCTAAGTTCTTTCCGGTACCAACGCTGTTTCTCATGTCGTATTTAAGCCCTCAGGATCCTATTTCTTTGTTTTGTCCTCTCTCTTCCCGTTTCCTCACTGCGTGGATGCTGGGGGCCCCACTGTGGCAGCCCCTTTGGTGAGGTCCTCTCATGTGGAGGGCGGGTATGGGGTGGGCTCCTGTCGGAGTGACCTTGGCAGGTCACTGTGCTTCTCTGATCCTGCTTCCTCATCTGGAAAAGAAGGAGGAGATGAGCTCCGATGTCCCTTCTACATCACCTTCTAGCCAACGGCGTGCGCGGGACAGTCGCGGGCACACCACGCAGCATGGAGTGAGGCAGGGCACGCCCAGGAGAGAGGGAGCCAGCCCTGGCCTCAGTCTGCTCCCAGCCTCTGAGGGGAGGGAGACGTGGCCTGACTGGGCACACCCCAGACCTTAGCACAGGGTCAGACCCCACGGTGCAGGACAGTCCTTCAGAGATGGGGGCACTGGGGACCCTGCAGGCTCCGGCCAGCCAGATGGGCTTTGCGGAGGAGGCGGGGCTCTGTCTGAGGCCTGAAGCATGGGTTGGGGTCAGGAGGCGACATCCCTGAGGGAGATTCCAGGAACGCGAGGGCGAGCGGAGACTGCACAGGCCGTGGCAGCTGGGAGTCATGGGGAGAGACGGGGGGATGTGATCAGGCCCCAGGTGGAGGTTGCTGGACCCAAGCAGAGGCCTTTTGGTGTGTCCTGAAGTTAGACAGGGTAGCTGTGAGGGTGACCAGCGGTCCCCGTTTGCCCAGATGAAGGGTTCCCAGAACTGAGCGAACCAGCACGCGTGGCTCACCCTAGGAGCCTGCTCCCACGTGGACTCCATGGTAAGGACACAGGGTGCCGAGGAGCTGTAGACCCCACAGCCCAGTTCCCCCTGGACATTTTCCTCAAGACCAAAGCCTCTCGCTTCCTCCTTCCTGTCTCGCCCTTCTTCCCCAGGCTTCTGGGGACCCAGATCCACAGCAGACCCCGCGGAGGGAGGTGCAAGGCAGGTGGGGGTCAGGGGGGCAGCTCACTTTAGTGGGTGAGGCCACGAAGCTTCCTGAGCAGCAGGCTGCAGAGACGGAGCACACCTGCAAAGGGCCTGTGGTCACAACCGAAGGAAAGAACGAATACAGTAAATGCAGTACCCACTGGACATGCAGTACATGCCCCTCCGTGGAGGCCGGCGAGCAGCATGAGGCTTACAGCTCTCCCAAGTGCCTGCGAAACGCGCTTTTCACTCTGGATCCAGCTGAATGGCTGGATGCTGCGCTGTGCCACCAGCATCTCATTTGGGACTGATGGGCTTCCTGCCCTGACGCTGGGAGTGGTGAGGGCAGAAGGCCTCCTCTGCCAGCCCCTCTGGGGGCTCCCTCAGCTGCAGAGAGCCACCTTACCAAGGCCAGACCCCTGCCCAGGACACCCCACCTCTCCTGACTGATTGACAAGGGGGTGGGTCTCAAGGCCAACACTGCCTTGCCAACTTGGCAAGTGCTGCAGGGCTATCTCGTCTTCGGAACTCCTCCCAAGGTGGTCTGAGTTGTCTCATGGCCTATATTGCAGCCCAGCGTCCCCTTTTGTCCCA